TGACTCATCCTATTTCGAGAAATCAAGAGTGACGTGGCACACACTGACGTTTATATATGTTAGATAAATAATAAGTTCACCAAAAAACATAAAATATGTTTTAAAAGATGAAATAAATATCATGTTTCTATTTGAAATTTTTATGTTTCAGACTTGGTGTAATTTATGAGTTATTAATGAAATATATACAAATTATAGGCTGGTCAAATCAAATATCGTACAGCGTTCGGGAGAGATTCGTTTTTAATTAAGGAAATTGTATACACGGGCTACAGCCGAATTTCGTTACAATCTTTTCCTGAAACAAGTTTTGATTAATTTTTAAAAGTTTAAGAAGGTCGCTTCGTATTCAGAAATATTGAAATTATTCCAAAATTATAACATGTTCATTTGCATCTGCTGGTGTGTAAAATTGAACTTCGAAATGTTTATATATTTTCCGAATTATATTTAATTTTAAATTACTTTTGAAATCTTTATTTATAACAATTATGTTAATATAGTAAACCCACTGTGGATCACTCACAAATTTTGAGAGAGAGAGAAAAAAAGATTTTTACAAAATTTAATTCTATGATTCAAAAATTCTTTTGTAATAAGAGAATACATGAAACTAATAAGTTTTCTTTTTTCTATAAATATAGTATCGATCCCCTTTAAAATGGACAGCATAGAGAGAGATAAATCAGGTCCATATATTCTGAAAAAAAAAAGGAAACAGATTACAGCTGTAGTTTTAAAGAGTAGTAGTCAAGAAGAGAGTTGGTTGGTTGTTTTTTTAGAGCAAAACCACATTAGACTGTCTGCTGTGTCCACCGCGGTGAACCGAACCCCGATTTTATCGTTGTAAGTCGGTAAACTTAGTACTTTCCCACTGGGAGACCAACAAGTAAAGAATACAGGCTGTGATGTGACATTCTTGGCCAAACACACGGGGTGAAAGCCTTTAAAACATACCAAAATAGTGAAAATCACAAAAAATATTCAAAACCCAACCAAAGAATTAACTTTTAACAAATTTTCTACTTCAAAGAAACATTAGTGAAGAGATGAAAGTCACTATAGCAGACATTGCACAAGTATACCATGTTTTTAATCATCATCATAACTATCTAAGTACAGATTGTGATATTAAACTTATTACATCAGTATATTTTGCCTCACATTTGTGTAAAAAACAAATCCACTGCAAAAGAACCAAGGCAGAAAGTTTAGTAGAAAATACACTTTTTTCCATATCAATAGAAATTACACTACAGAAAATGACCTGTGGTATTATTAATAATAGTCCTCTACTATTTTTCGTCGCAACTTATGTCTCCAATAAGGGCAATCTAAAATTTTTCCTATTGCAATGACATATTTCCGCATGTAAAAGGGTATTCAGAATAACGTCATCGACTTTTATGAAGACTGGTTTGTTTTGAATTACACGAGGGCTATCTGCGCCAGCCGTCCATAATTTAGCAACTAGTCAACACACCCACCGAACACTTTTGGGCTGCTTTTTTCAACGAATAATGGAATTGACCGTATTTTATAACGACTGAAAGGGCGAGTATATTCGGCGTGAGAGAGATTGGAATCCACAACACTTAGATTGCGAGTAGATCGGTCTAACTACCAAGCCATGCCAGGCCCTAAGCAACGAGATAAAGACGTATTTGTACATAAGGCAATTCAAGTGTTTAATAGAAACATGGAATATTGAAGAAAATGATATGATTACGAAAACAACCCGTTTATTTTTTTTTTCGGCGTTAAATTTATAAAACGAAAATATAAGTTATAACTTTAATAGGGTTACCAATTATGAGTTAAATCACCTGATACTCCAGTTGGTATTAAAATTAATTGGATACAAATATTTAATGACAAAGAGCAGTTTACATAACTATAAAGATGTGTAGCAAGAAAAATTATCAATTCCTTTAAGTAGCGCTTTTTTGGAAAGGATTTTTCCTTAAAAATTGGGGCGGATGAGAGTACTAAAACAAGATTGGAATTAGTTAAAACGTAACTTTGTTACAAATTAATTTTAATATGACCTGCAAACGTGCCTAAAATTTATTAGTAAAACTGAGCAAATCGACTTGTTAAAAAGCGCCATGAGCAATAAAAAGTATACTTTTATGTTCAAAGTTGCCAAATAATATTTTTTTATGTTGTATTGTATGTTCCTATATAATTAATAAACATTGTTTATGGAAATAAAACAAGATAAGCAAAAAAATAATAATAAACAAACAACATTTATATGGTATATGGTCGTAGAATCACGTATTTACGCCTCTTCATGCAGTCGTTATTAGACTAGACTAGTCTAGGCAACAGATAAAATCTACTGTAAGTTTAATAACTCCTTTTAGCATTACAAAGTAGATCCATTATATATTTATAAAATCGCACTAAATTTAAATACTTTATTAATAAACTAAAAATATATTTAAAATTTTTAGAAACTTAAAGTGGTCTTAACTATTATTATTAACACTCACTAAATCGATCAATTACTTCCATTCATATTGTGATTTTAATATATAAATGAATATGTCAGGTTAAGATAAAAGTGCTTAAAAATATTATTTTACGACCTACCCACTTCGTTCTTTTAAAATCTCAGGGTCAGGTTTTAACTTACGGTGGCAACCCTAATTGTAATATTTTCAATGAACTTCAGTTTTTACTTTTAGAGGTTTAAGTTCTTCTGTGTACAAGTTATTTGTAATAGTATTTTTAAAATATTATTAAAATATAGAAAGGACTTATGAGAACACCTCAATTGCAATACATGTAATTTCAAATATCCCGACAACTACCGAATAAATAGGTAATGATTATAATTTTTAGTACAAATGCTCAAAAATAAGACAAATATTTGAGGCTGTGTCAAACCTTTTCGCAATCTCAGACAACTTCAAATTGTAGCATTATATTATTTATCATAAAAAAACGACTAATTTTTTTACTTTAAAATTTAATTTGTGCAGTAGTTTATCAAGCTGAACTAACTTCATTTTAGTTAAGAATTTATTCATTTTTCTATATAATTTTTAAACTAGATAAAATCCACTGTTATACAAGTGTAACATAAATAAAAAATAACATCTCCTGTAATTATTTCTCTAAAACAACTTTATTAGTGGTATTTTATTAAAGAGAAAATCTTTAGAAACGGAAACTTAGTAAACAAGGTTCCTAATTCACGAAATATAAAGTTTAAATTTCTCCTTTTAAAAATTATCTTTAAACAAAGTAAATTAATAATCCACATTTTGTTATTATTAAACAGTTAGTAATGCTTGATTCATGGATGATTCTCATATTATTTCTGTTTATTTTCATTTAAGTATCATTATGTTTTAAATAGAATACTGTTGGTTCACACTATAAAATTAAAAACTGACCTATTCTGCCACAAATTACAGGTTAAAGATCAACTTTACACTATTAGTTAATTAAAACAACCAGGTCAAGTATGTTATATTTATAAAACAAAACTGTTACATTATTAAATGTTTCTTAATAATATTCAAGCATATCCACTTCATTAGTTTTCTACTTAATTTTTGACTTTTCTCCCTCTCACGTCATGGAATTAAATTTTTCATAGCACTCCTGCAAAAAAATATGAAAATATTGCATGAAAGTAAATTATTTTATTTTTACTATTATACTAATAAGCATTCTTTTTAACCATTTCTTTGATTTCCTGACTTTTATGAAACTTGTACAGCAAGTGGTAGTAGTTTTGTGAGAATTATTGTAAATCAACACTGACAGATATTTATATATTTTTATGAAAAGGGTTTAACACCTACAAAAGATTAACAATTTCAACATACTGTAATTAAACTAGTGATCTCATAAAAAATCAAAGATTTTAATCAAAAGAAGAGTAAGACAATAATTTTGATATCTATGTTCAAGAAAGTTAGTGGATGAATGCCAAAACTAATATAGTATTAATATAGCTCACTATTATAGAGCTTTGTGCTAAATGCAGGAAATAGCAGAAAAAAATCATAAAATCCGAAATTTTCATAGATATTGTGAGTTACAATTGTACAGTAACTTAACTTTCATCTTGTTTTGCACATGTTTATTACAAAAGATGAGTGTTTCAGACTGTAAGAGTAACTATTTCTGATTCAAGATTTGAACTGGAATCAAATAGATTTTTTTTTTTCCAATGTTAACACAACCAGTATGAAATACAGTTATACCAAAAACCTAATTCAATTTGTGAAGGTTATTTAACATATAAGATATAAAATGATTTATAGATATAAATGTATGTGAGTATCACTGTACTCAGATCAGGATCATTATAGCATAACCCCCCCCCCCCAAAAAAAATATAAAAAAAATGGAACAATATAAAATGCACACGATATCCACCTTTTTTCCCCAAAACAATATCGCAGTTACAAGTCAAAGGACTCTGAATCTGAAATCAACTAAATGAGACTCAATCAAACATGCCTTCACTAGCATGCAGTCACAATATTAACAATCACACCTTCACTAGCATACAGACACAATATTTGCAATCACACATATACCAGCATACAGTCATATTATTAACAATCACACCTCCACTACCATGCTGTCACAATATTAACACTCACACCTTAACTAGTATACAATCACAATATTAATTAACAAAAATTCACTAGCACATTGTCAAAATATTTACAATAACACCTTCATTTACATACAGTCACAATATTAACAGTCACAGTTTCATTAGTAGGCAAAAACAATATTAACAAACCTTCACTATCATACAGTCATAATGTTAACAATCACAACTTCACTAGCACACAGTCACACTTCCACTAGCATGCAGTCACAATACTAACAGTCACACTGTCACTATCATGTAGTCACAATAATGAGAAACCCTCACTAGCACACTGTCACATTATTAACAATTACACCTTCACTATCATGTAGTCACAATATTAGCAATCACACCAACACTAGCATCCTGTCACACTATTAACAATCATACCTACACTAGTATCCTGTCACAATATTTAACAACCACACCTATACTAGCACACAGTCACAATATTAACAACTACACCTATACTAGCACACAGTTACAATATCAACAATCACACCTTCACTAGCATACAATAACAATATTAACAATCATACCTTCACTAGTATGCTGTCAAAATATTAACACTCACACCTTCACCAGTATGCTATCACAATATTAACTCTCACACCTTCACTAGCACACAATCACAATATTTACAATCACACATATACTAGCACATAGTCACAATATCAACAATCACACCTTCACTAGCATACAATAACAATATTAACAATCACACCTTCACCAGTATGCTATCACAATATTAACTCTCACACCTTCACTAGCACGCAATCACAATATTTACAATCACACCTTCACCGGCATGCAATCTCAATATTAACAGTCACCTTCACCAGCATGCAGTCCCAATTTCAACAATCACACCTTCACTTAGACCCCTTGTTAGTTACCGAAGGGTTGAGTGGAAAGCATTCAAAGAAATCATATATCAATATTAGCTGGGATGCCAGTAAATACTTTCCAACTCATTTTATTCCCATCCATCACACACAGCAATTTTGAATGACGATAACAAACATTTGTTCCATTTGCAGTGAAAAGGTTAACAAGCCTTCACCAGCACACAGTCAAAATATTAACAATCACATTTTTACTAGTATACAGACACTATTAACAATCACACCTTCACTAGCATGTAGTCACAATATTAACAACCACATCTTCATTAGTACACAGTTTCAATATCAACAATCACACCTTCACTAGTACACAGACACTATTAACAATCACACCTTCACTAGCATGTAGTCACAATATTAACAACCACATCTTCATTAGTACACAGTTTCAATATTAACAATCACACCTTTACTAGTACACAGACACTATTAACAATCACACCTTCACTAGCATGTAGTTACAATATTAACAACCACATCTTCATTAGTACACAGTTTCAATATTAACAATCACACCTTCACTAGTACACAGACACTATTTACAATCACACTTTCACTAGCATGTAGTAGCAACATTAACAAACTTTTGTGAGCACACAGTTACAATACACAGCCACAATATTAACAACTATCCCTTCACTAGCATGCAGTCACAATATTAACTTAAAACTATTTAACAAGCACCATTTAATGCAACATATGGAAAATGAAATGATGGTACAGAAAATGCATAATGTTAACTTAGCTCAGGTGATCAGGGTTCTTCAGGGAATCAGCCATACTCAACCAAAATAATATGACACATATACACACACTTCCTCATTATTTCAGAACTTCCTGAAATAATGTAATATAACAATAAACATTCAAACATCATTATTATCTTATCTAAAAACCTGTTTGACTAACTATTTCTAAACAATGTAAATGTAGTTGAACATTTTTGTATATGTTTATTGTCCATTAATCATTCTAAGCATCACAAAAGAAAACATAATTGACCCTCAAAAGAAAAATGTGACATTCTTTTTTCTAAAAAAGCACACAATGCCTAGATTTGCAAGTTTAAAGGAATTTAGGTATGAGAATAAATAAGAAAAATAATAATGAAAAACTAATGTGGTACTTTTGTCCTTTCAAATTGTTTCAATGTGGCAGTTACACAATAAAATATAAACAAATATTCAAACGAGTAAACCCAAGTAATAGAGTTACATATACAAAAAACCTACTCTATAAAATCAGAGAATATCCATGTGATAAAACACAATAAAATAATCACTGTTTGTTATTGTTATCATTTATTCTAAGTAATCAAGTCTCATGTGACAGTACTCAATTAGTTGTATGTAATCAGTTAATGAGCCTGATGATTAACTGTTTATCAAACTCCAACAATACCCCAGAGCTCTACACTGGAAGTAGCAAAAAGATTTCTGTGCTGTTTGAGGTAGGTTGTTAAGTAGAAAATTAAATATATGGGTTCTATATGTACTAGAAAGCAGTAGGATCAGATATTGAAAATATATACCTTTTTAATGATCATATACATACACTGTATATCCTGCTTTATATATCGAATTAGCTTAATCTTAATAACACTACATATTTCAGCATAAACATCATTTATTTTCATGTCTACTAAATATTCATATTAAATCTTGACAATTTGTACATTATCTCTAATAAATTTGTTTTGTTTTTTTTGGCATTCATTGAGCAATGGAAAGATTAATAAAGGAACCAGAGAAATAAAACTTTCATCACTGCTTCTTTAAGTTGTTTCTACAAAGTTAGAAAAGAATTACAGAAAAATACAGGAAGTTAAAAGTTTAATTGTATTTTAACTGCACATAACTGGCAACTCACATGGAGCTTTATCAGTTTGAACCAAGTGTATAGTGAAATAAGTTTTCCTATAGAAGTGCTGACAAAATGAAAATATTAGAGGTACAACTATGTCTGTATACTTGAAAACTAATTTTGACAATTTTTGTTTTCTTGTGAACACAAATTCTTTGTCTATAAACCTATATACAAGGTGTCTGATAATTTTTTTAACAAATTACTAAAACAGATTTCTGAATGTGTGTAAAATTCTATCGAGTGTCTGTCACTTAACCATGATATTACATGCACACAGTAACATATCTCTTGACAGACTGAATGGTCATCTAATAATCATTGTAACATAAACAGGAGCAAGGCTTCTGTCTATGAAACATAAGTAATACATTTTGTTGATTTCTGTGCATGATGCAAATACTGACCTAGTGGAAATTGCAAGGCAAACCTAGAAAACTATGAAACTGCATTAAATGTAAAACTTTATCAAACTTTTGTTAAGAATAGCAAAGGATGCACACACAGTTTGGAAGGTGTGACAGGTGCAAGGAGCATTTTTATTTAGCAACTCAGGATTGTCATGCATATTTAAGGAAGCTAGTAGTGAAATGTTTAATTTGTATGTATAGTATGTATGGTTGTAGGAAAAATTGGAGGTTATCCTAAATAGGGTATAAGCAATGGCTAAAGAGAAGGGTAAACTATAGGAAATGGCAGCAGGATTTAAAGACTTAAGCTTTTGCATGCCAAGATTATAGTCTTTAATAATGACTTTTAGGAAGTTAGAAACAGTAGTAACAGGGCTTGCAGTAGTGTATTTAATCATAGTGAGTAGCTTCTACTAAGTAACAGAATTTTAGCCTTTAGCTTGTGCAGATGAGAAACTAGGAGAGGGAAAGATAACAAAAGAGACAGATAGGGAAGGGAATTAAAAAACATAAAGAGGTTATTGTTACAGATGATTTTTAGTACAGCATGTGAATAGGATAGGTGTGAGGTAAATAGGGGGAAGATAATTATATTACGCTATCCGGGATCAGTGGATTTGAAAATCAGTAAATATAATCGATAGAGCAAGTGATATAGTAAAAAGTGCTAGCAGTGATGCAGTCTTTGTAGTGCACATAGATAATGATGTAGGGAAGGGTAGGTCAAAACAACTTATACTTAAGTGCAAGGCATTAAAAAAAAAGGGCCATAATAACTAAATTCTGTCAAGGATAATGCCAATTAAGATTTAATTGTGGGGATGAAATTATAAGTAGGTATCTAGGGCTGAACATTATTTTTAAGTTAATAAGAAAGGGAAAACAGGTTGGTTGGTTGGATGTGTGGGATCAGTTTAATGGGAAGACGGAGCTGTTTGGAATGGATGGTTTACATTTAAGAGGGTTCACACTGGCTTGTTTCCAAAAGTTATAAACTCAGCTTTAATACCAGCTTTAAACTATGACTAGACAGTAGTGGGACCAGAATAATGTAAAAATAAGAAGATGAAGAAAAAGTGTAGGAACAAAGTATAAAAGTAGTTTTAATAGTAGGCTAAGCTCTTATTATTGTAATGCTAGAAGTATAAGAAATAAAATGGATGATTAAAGAACTGGTCAGAACAGAGGATTTTGGTGTAATGGGACAAAGGAAACTTGGGGTTCAATGTAGACAGTTTTGATGACAGGAACTCATTTGAAATACAGAGAGAGTTATAGATTAATAGGGATAGAGTACTAAAAAAAGAGGGTAAGGAGTGACTTTATATGTAAAATGCGAGTTACAACCTGTTCAAGTTGAAGATATCCAAGCTGACAGCAATGAAGCTGAATCTGTGTTGTTTTTTGTAAATAACATAACATTTTGAAACAACATGGGATCTATTGGTCTATATTGGCTGTTCCATCATTTAAACTAAACTATTAATAATTTTTTTTTAAATCTTAAAGCCAGCCCTTATCATACATATACTTATCAAGCTTTCTATTAAACTCACTTATATTTATTGCTTCCACAACATCTGAAGGCAACCCATTCCAAAGGCCAACCACACTGTTAGAAAAATAAAACTGTTTTAGCTGAATATGACTCCTACCCTGCCAAAATTTATATTTGTGACCCCTAGTCCTATTATTCTCACTGTTAAGTATGAAAAAAGATGATGCATCAACACTATCAATTCCCTTTACAATCTTAAACACCTCCCCCCGAAACTTCTCTTTCCAAGAGAAAACAATTTAAGAGATTTCAATGTCTCCTCATATGACAACCCCTCCATCCCAGGCACTATTTTAGTAACTCTTCTCTGAGCCTTTTCCAACAATTCAATGTATTTCCTAAGGTAAGGGGCCCAAGACTGAAAACAATATTCCAAATGTGGCCTAACCAGTGTCTTATACATGAAATTTAACCTCTTGATATTATTGACTCTATTTACAAGTTTTTAATTTAAGAGCATAAATGTTGTTAAAATCTTGTATTAGAGTCTGGTGGAATCTCACTGACACCACTGCAAAGTCTTTTTATAAGAGAAAGGATTTCAAAATGTTTGAAAGAATATAGAAATAGACTACTAAAACTATATTTGGTTTAAGAACTATAACTATAAGAAGAAGTTTAAAGATATGGACATTTTTCAAACAGCATAGAAGAATTAGAGTAAACTTGAATGAACATCTAAAAGTTAAGGGTTTGGACAGTCTTCCTGTTGGGGTGGTGGTCTGTAAATGAAAGAGAAATAGCAAATATTATCTCTCTAACAACAGTGAGGTAAAATATCTGAACATTTTAACTTTAAGATATCAATTACTTATTTAGCATACTTACATACTAATGACAAAGCACCAGTGTATGAAAATGCTGCCCAGTTTTTCCAGCTAACATTTGCTTCAATCAAATTCAACATTGCAGACCTCAGTGCTTTTGGAACATCTCTGTCTACTAGAAAACAACGATAGAAATTATCCATGAAATATGGTGTAATAGCATCACTGACCAACCAAGGGGAGGATACTACACCACATGCTCCAGCAACAAGAAAAGCTCGATACAGGCCAAGAATACTATCATTGGTTACCTGCCCACTTCCTGTTTTACAGCAACTGAGGGTAACAAGTGATATATCACAGAAGAGATCCTGTAAATCTCTACTGCATAATAGACCATTACACTTATTACCATCTGGAGACAGAAAAAGACATCCTTTCATCAGATAAGTATCAGGAAAGAAAAAGTTCAAAGGATCTTCATCAGAACAATCTACAGGTTCCTCAGTATCTCCATGAGAAACAACATGCAAAACATCCACCTCTTTCATACATTTCATAATCTCTTCTTTAGTTGCTGCTTCTTTATCAATTACATGACAACTTTCTATACCAAAAATATTCTGAACACATTTCAATTCATTTTCTGCACCTGGAAGTTCTTCTAGTTCCCAACAAGAAGCAGTCTTAGGGTTACCAATGGCAACTACTTTAAGTTTTCTGTTTTTCAAATTTCTTTCTCTTTCCTCCAACCGATGACGAAGAAGCAGAAAGGATCGTAAACTTGGGGTATAGCTTATAATATAATCTTGAATTAAGTATCTTTTAGATGGGCTAATAAGAGCACAAAAAGGAACTTTAAAGAGCCAGGAACTTGGAATTACAGTAATTCTTGTGACATTATGATCATCTGGATTGGGTAGGAACTCAGCAACTGGACCAATACAAACATCATAGAAGAGCCGTAATGCTTCATAGCTCTCATTTTCTATGGAATTAGAAAGTGTAATACGTTCCATCTGTCCTCTAGCAGTAGCTTTATCTTCAGGAGAACATTTGGCTTCATTTGGTCCTTGGTTACATTCAGCAGTTGTTTTTTCTTTAGATGTCTTTCCATGTGAAATTTGTGTAGTATATTTTGATATCTTAGCAAACAACCTGTCTCGCTCTGTCTTGTTACTCGGAAATATTTTATCCCCAGGAACTTTAATACAATGAATACTAGATTCACCTGATTTCAAGAATTCTATAGGTTTAATTACCCAAATGCACAACCAAGGGTGATCAGCCAACATAATAAGAGAATATACCAAAATTGTTGTATGAAATCTGTTTGCTGTGGAAATGTAGAATGAAGGTATTTCCTCTTCAAGAAACATATTATCCAGTCTTGATTTAGAAATTATATCTTCTTCTGACAGCCAAGTTTTGTTTGATAACTCCAAGGAGCTTTTAAACTTGTAAGCTAACATATCAGATAATGCTCTACCATGAGCTAATTCTGAAACTGAAAGAGCTTGTCCACTTTTTCCTTGAACCAGTAATTGGTAAATCAAAAAATTGAACACTGATATTTGTCTATTATCAAAACTAGAAACTTTTGATGCATCATCTGATCCCATTTTTAAACGCAAGGTTTCGGCCCCCAAAATACTTTCTTTGGTGTGATAAACAGCCTTTTCAAAGTCTTGTATCAAACATAAATCGTGTGCAAAATAAAGATTGCCTTTAGAAATATGTGCTTGATCTCCATACTGTTTCATTAATTCCAATGCTCTTTTATGAAATGAAACAGCTTTATTGTAATTTTTCAAATCTTGAGATATAAGTCCAAAATTTTCATAACATATTCCAATGAAAAAATTATCTTTTACTTTTTTACTCTCATACAAAGCATCCATTAAAACTCTAGAAGCTTCTTTTAAAAGGCCTAGAGAAATAAAAAAAATGGCTCATGTGAAGCTTTGCCATTCGATTAGCTCTCCTAAGGCCTAAAAGTTTAGTCAAGTCATGATGAGTGGCAGAACAAGCCAAAGCAAATTCAAGGCTGTTTTTTGAAGAACTTAAAAGTTCACTAGCATTTGCAAGATATGGAAGAGTCTTTGCGAATGTCAGAAGGTCTCCATGATCAACAGCAGCCATAAGCAATTGCAGATGCCGTTTAAATGCATCATTGTTTCTTCCTTCCACAGCAAAAATGGATCCTATTGCATTTTCTAACTTCAGTTTCTCATATTTTGATGATTCATTAGCAATAGCTTGCTGAAGAACTTTTTTACTCTTCTTTAAGTCATCACCAACATCATTTGTCATCAATTTATGTTTTAATGTTTCTATACTTTTGGAAGAAAAATTATGGCTGACTGAAAAAGATTTTTTGAAAGAGGAGATGTGAGTCTTGGGTGGTAGCAAGTCTTCAGTACAACCTAACATATCAATAACAGGGAAAGTGAATATTGCTGGTTCATGTATTTCTTTCCAGGAGGAACACAACAGTTTTGCATGATTTTTTAGTTCTTGATTTTTAGATTTCAATGCAATTTCTTTTATTTCAAGAATCATTCTTTCAGCATTTTCAAAATCTTCATCTGTTTTATAAAGACAAAAGAGAACTGTACAGACCTTAACGTACATAAAATTACAATACAAATTTGTACTTAACCTGTCATACATCCATTTTGTAAGATCATAAGCTTTTGTTGCTATTACTTTTGCAACTTGAATGCCCTCAAATTTTCTATACAGTTCTTGACATTTTATCAAAAGATTAACTATTCTGAAGCCTACAGTTTCCTTTTCCAACAACCGATCCACCAATCTGGCTGCAATTGGTACTGGCAAACTATTTAAAAACACATCAAATTCCCTCTCATTGCAACAGTCCACATCATATTCATAGTTATAATCGGTGCCACACAAAGGGACTTCTTTTAGTTCAGCAAGTTTATTCTCAATCATCTCCTTTAGGAATCTCATGTTATCAGGAACTTTGGCAAGCTCCGATTCTTCGTTTCCTACATAATCCATCACTGAAGACTTGTGACTCTATGAATATATTGTTGCGTCATCGAGATCATGTGATTCTCACGCCCTCTACTTTCTAGAACTATCCTGTACTTTGGCGAATGCTCTAGTATTTACTAGATACAGGGTAGTTTGGTATATAAAAGAGGGTGACAACGTGAATAATGTAATGTGTGTGTGAAGATAGTGAGTAATTGAACTGCAGTCAGAAGTATTATTGACGTTCGTTGAT